CCAAGTGCCATTTTTCAACCATCTACACTTAATGACCTTGTAGACATTGTGAAATTAGCAAAGCAAAATAATAAAACTATTCGGTGCGCTGCCCAAGGACACTGTGTAAGTAGTCTATCTTGCACAGATAACTACTTGGTGATAGTTACAGACTTAAATCAGGTCACTGTGCAAGAAGATCCAAAATATGGCTGGACTGTTACTGCTGAAGCGGGTAAGCGTTTTATACATTGATTAATTCATGATAATTATTATCTGAGAATGAATTATTTAATTAAAAAATAGGTACACAATTATTGAAACTTGATGATGTACTCCGAAATCATAATCCACCATTAACACTCGATTCTGAGACTGTATATGACACATTTCGAGTATCGGGTGTTATTTCAGTAGGTGCACATGGAGCAAAGACAAGTTCAGGCATTATGTCAGATCAAGTTTGTTCGATGAAAATTGTTACTGCTTCCGGTGATGTAGTCGAATTTAGTGAAGAAATAGATAAATCAGAGTTCAATGCTGCAAAAGTCAACCTAGGTAATTATGACCTTATGCTTTTAATAATTCACTTTTCTTTATCTAACTTTATAATTGCTTAGGTTTACTTGGTATAATCTATTCGGTGACTTTCCGTGTACAACCGATGTACAACCTTCGTATGACTGATGCCCTTTATCGAGCGAACGAATGGCTTAAACCACAAAATATTAAAAATCTTTTAGAATCATCTGATGGAATTGAAATATATTATTTTCCATTAAGTGGAGGATTTAATCCGAAAGCTTCAAATCCCCTTGACCTTAATCCAGATACACTTTTGGTTTTGAATTGGGAACGGACTAATGATTCTGTGACTCTCCCTCCACAAGTGCTCGAACAAACACGTCAAACCGAAGTAGGAGAAATTAATAATCAGTATCTGACTATACCTAGTTACCTAACATCTAATCCTTCGTTAACTCCGAGTATAACTGGTACATTATCGAATGTTAATAATGGTGGTGTTGGTAAT